GAAAAAAAAGACCATTGCTTCAAAAAAAAAAAAAAGAAGAAAAAAAAAAGACCATTGTTTGTCTTTCATCAATTTGTGTGCATGCGTTCTTCCTCCACCCTCCCCTCCCTCCCCCTCTTCTTAATCCGTTAGACCGAAAATGAATGGAACTTGTTACTCGGTACACCTTTTTCCCCTGTCAAAAAATCTTATTTTATCTAATTTAATTTATTATTGGGCAGATAGATTATGTGCATGATTTTTTATTAATATTATTTTTATTATTTTTTAATTCCCCTCCCCCCCCCCCCCTCCCTCCCTCAGATCGAGATTGGTACTCAATTCACTGACTACTTTTCCTGTCAAAATTTTCATTTATTTAATTTTATTTTCTTTGGCAGGCCTATCCATTTTTTAAGTAATTTATATTTTACGGGTAACTTTTTTTTTTTTTTTTTTTTTCTGTTCTTTCAATTAGGGCCCCGTGCCCAAGGTGCATTCACGAAAACAGTTTGTAATTGCACTTCAGGCAATCCCGCGAATACAACACACCCCCACGCGACCCCACCGGACCCGAAACGTAGGTCATATACATTCAGCATTTAATTTACCCGCCCCCTTTTGCCTCAAGTGAGGCAATTACAAACTCAAACCCTGACTGCGCCGTAGTTTTCTCTATATTTTTTAAATTAATCTAATTAATAATTTAATGAATTTTGATTTCATTTTTGGCAGATTGACCATCATCACGAAGACAGAAGCTGCAGCTATGGCGTACCCGAGGAGGCGCAATGACAGCAATAGCAAGAAGAAGCCTCGTTTTTTTGCCTACGGTTACTCCTCATGTTGTTTTTATCTTCTTTGGGCATTGCTCTTTCTCTGTTTTGTCTTTGCCATCTGGTACGGCTTAACCTTCAGCGCACACCTTGATTACCTCACCGGGGGCTGGATCGGAAGAAACGACAAATCAGCTGACGTGTCATCACTTCCATTATCATCAACATCATCATCATCATCATCATCATCAGCAGCAGCAGCAGCAGCAGCAGCAGCAGGAGAAGCAGGAGAAGCAGAAGAAGCAGGAGAAGCAACATTTGCTGAGGTTTCAACACAGGATCGTTATGCTGACGTGTTAATGCAAGATAGGCCCGCTGACGTGTCAATACAGGATCGTTCTGCAGACGTGTCAAAACAAGATAGTCTTGCTGACGTGTCAAGTTCTGCTGACGAGTCAATGCAGGATCGCGCCGCTGACGTGTCAATACCACGATTAGCATCATCATCATCATCATCATCATCATCAGTAGGGGTAATGTCTGCTGACTTGTCGACAGAGGATCGTCTTGCTGACGTGTCAGTACAGGGTGAGCCGGCTGACGTGTCAATACAGGATCGTCTTGCTGACGTGTCTATGCGCGATCGTCTCTCTGCGCATCCTGCTGACGTGTCAATGCCGCACCAACTTCAGGGTAACCATTCTTACGGTGGTGCGTCGACTGGCAAACGAGAGGAGGAGGGAGGGAGGGAGGTGGGGGAGGAGGAGGAGGGAGAAGAGTGCGATTCCACAACAGCCGGTTCACAGAGCTGTTGGTGTTGTTTAATGCGGCAGCTGCTATTGGCGAAAAGGTCTGTATCTGCCGCGCATTTCTGGTTGAATTCAGTTCTGGCGGACGATGAGGAGAGAGAGAAAGAGAAGGGAGGGGTGGAGAAGGAAGAGCAAGTGGGTGGGAGAGGTGATGGACGGAGCTATCCTTATCCACAGAGTAAACCCGCCAGCCATGTCGGTGACGTCACCAGCTATGGCGGCAGCGATGGTGGAAGAAGAAGGGAAGGAGGAAGAAGAAGGGAAGGAGGAAGAAGAAGGGAAGGTGGAAGAAGGTGGGCAGCTGCGACGACCACTACAGATAAATGGCGATACAGGAGGAGGAGAAGATGGAAAATAGGAGCCATTTTGCTGAGCTTTGGCTATGGCGTTTCTCCTCCTCCTCCTTCTCCTCCTCCTCATGCTCATCATCGTCCTTCTCCTGATGCTCCTCCTCCTCCTTCTCCTCATGCTCCTCCTCCTCCTCGTGATAATCATCGTTATCCTTATCCAGAATCTTATACTGATTCTTATCGAGATCGCGATCCCGTCCTCGATGTCTGTGCGTCTCAGATCCAGACACTCGCGCGCCAGTCTTTGAGCTTGATGGATGCTGTCGTGGTCCTGTACGAGGCCGCCGTGAACACCTCCTCCTCTTCCTCCTCCTCCTCCTCCTCCTCATTGCTGTCTTCTGCGAAACGTGGGGACCACCATCATCATGTCTTCCGCCTCGGTGAAGAGCTGTTGAAGGCTAAATTTATCCCTGTGGATATGGATAAGGATAACAAGGATAAGACGTCGGTTGCCGCCAATTTGGGTAAGTCACTCCTGGGTGCTGCTGCTTCTATGGATGTTGATTGGTACGTTCTTCTTGACAGCTCAGCAATTATTCGCGGCGACTACACTCTTCAGACCCTGCTGACGGTTGCGCAGCACATGGATTACAAACAAGCAATACTTGGAACGGATGGGGTCATTGAGTTGTCCAGGTGGCAGCATCTGCTTCTGCCAAGTGTCAATCTCACACCTGCTGGCTCAGCCAATGATCATAGTGGTTTCACTGACAGCTGTTGCAATATCTCTAACAGCGGAGCAGGAGGAGAAGGAGGAGAAGGAGGAGGAGGAAGAGGAGAAGGAGTAGGAGAAGACGGAGGAGGAAGAGGAAGAAAAGGAGGAGAAGGAGGAGGAGGAAGAGGAGGAGTAGGAGAAGACGGAGGAGGAAGAGGAAGAAAAGGAGGAGAAGGAGGAGGAGGAGAAGAAGGAGTAGGAAGAGGAAGAGGAGAAGGAGGAGAGGGAGGAGAAGGAGGACGACGAGGAGGAAGAAGAGGAGGAGGAGTAGGAGAAGGAGAGTTACGCCTACCTTCGACATCATTTCGCTTGTCAGAAGAATTACTGGTTCCTGTCAGTCGTCTGGAAGGTCTGTGGCTCGTTCCCGGGTCGGTAATTGGTTCGGTCATTATGGCCGTGTGTTCTGAGATAGGTCACCTGGAGGCTCAGGCAGATGACAGCGCAGCAATAGGGAGGAGGAGGAGCAACAGCCTTCTCGGTCGACTGCAAGGCTGGCAAGACTCTAAGTTCTACTTTGTGCCCCCACTTCTAGACAAACTCATAGCAAACACCTCCATCTCCTCCTTGAATTCCTCCTCCTCCTCTTCCTTCTCCTCCTTGAATTCCTCCTGGAACTCCTCTCGTGCTTCTTCTTCTTCTTCTTCTTCTTCTTCTTCTGCTTCTTCTTCTTCTTCGTCAGTGCTTCTGGAAAGCAAAAGCAGGGACGTGGAAGGGGTGATGCTTAATGATGGTGATGATGATAAGGATAAGGATGGTGGTAATCATGGAGGACGTGATGACAACGAAGCCAGTGATTGGTGGACCAACACCTTTGGGAGAATCACAGCGATTCGTAAACAATGGGGGAGAAGGGTGGGAGGAAGGGAACGAGAAGGCGGAGATAGTGTTCTATCCTCTCATGCCGGTGCTCCTCGGCAGTTAATTAAGGAACGTGGAGGAGGAGGAGGAGGAGGAGGAGGAGGTAGTGTGGATGACGTGGCATTGGGAGAGCCACGTGACAGTCTCAGAATCAAGCATGCTGCTCAGTACTATGAGGCTGACCGTTCAATGTGGTCCAGGTTGGCAGGAACTTGCACAGCCGCCGATCGCTGTCGGGGTCGGGGTAGTCATGTTCGTGGTGGTGGTTTAAGAGGGAGTAATACCACCACGACCTTCTCCTCCTCTTCTTCTTCTTTCACCACCTCCTCCTCCTCTTCCTCCGCGAAGCTCAATTCTGGCATTGATGGGATTCAGTTTGCTGACCACGTGGATGTGCTCTTCTACGCTGAGACACTAGAGGACGTCCGGACTCTGAGTCCCATCTACGTGGCCATGCGATCCCAACACCAGACGCTTTTTGCCGTGTCTGGTTCTGACACGTATCCATGCAAAAAAGCTGCCGACTTGTTGCATCAGCACCACAGCGACTGCGTCGCTATGACTCGTGATGATAACGATAATGATGATGATGATAAGAGAGATCAGGAGGAGGAGGAGGAGGAGGAGAATCCTATGGTCGGTGACAAGGAAGGGCAGGAGGGGGGTCTATCCTCTCAGTGGAAGTCCGTGGGCCCGATCCTTGTATTAAGCCAGTGGCTGAAGACGACAGTTCTCGCGGATGGCGGTCCACTGTCGGAAGCAGAAATTCGACATGTGGCATTATACTCCCTCTTAAGATTAACAACGCCACGTGTACTGATTGTGAGGCTGAGCCATCGGGATCTAGGCCCCGTTGAACAGCTTGTGCATTTTTCTTCGCCCCGATCCCGATCCCATGTGGATGACGTCAACACTTCGACAAAAGCAGGACCAGCAGCAGCAGCACCGATGCCAACAGCGATCTGCTTGCCAGATTCCATGGCCAATCACGTTGTCAGCTGGCTGCCCACCCTCCCTCTCGAGAGCTTGATGGCATGGAACCGTCTCCGCATCACCCTGACAGTGATCACATTCCGCCGCCCGCAGTCCCTCTCTAGGCTGCTGCACTCTCTCTCCACAGCTGAGTACTTAGGCGATGAGGTCAAGCTGATCATTGCAGTCGAACATGGTGCTGATAGCGAGACAGTGCGGCTGAGCGATGGCTTTTCGTGGCCGCATGGGCGGTTGATTGTGCGGCATCGTAAGGTCCGAGCAGGCCTCATTGCCGCTGTCTCGGAGAGCTGGGACCCAGAACATGAAGATGAGGTTGGAGTGCTCTTGGAAGACGATATCGAGGTCGCCAAGTCATTCTACTTGTGGATTAAATACTCTATCTTGTTCTATCACTACGGGCCAAATCAGACCAAGATCGACCAACTTGCATCTGTGTCCCTGTACTCGCCTAGATGTCACGAGTTTGTCCATGACAAAGCTCACTGGAACCTCACTCAGCGATTCCAACGGCTGCGTACAGCAAGCCGACATGGAGGAGGAGGTAAAGAGGTAGGAGACGGAGACAGCGACGGAGATGTAAATGGAGTAGGAGTAGGCGTAGAAGGGGTGGAGGAGGAGGAGGAGGAGGAAGATAGTTTCCTGGGAACGAACACTCCCTTTCTCCAGACGTTACCGTGCAGTTGGGGTGCCGCATTCCTGCCAGTCCCTTGGCGACAGTTCAAGTCTTACCTCCGTCGCAATCGACTCCTGCCAGTCGACCAAAGGCTCAAGATCCATGAGTACTATTCTGTGAAATGGAAGACCAGTTGGAAGGCTTTCTACATCGAACAGATGCACCTAAATGCCTACGTTACTCTGTATCCCAATTTCCCAGATGCAGCTAGCTTTTCCACCAACCACGTCGAACTAGGCGAGCATATCTTCACAAACGGAACACCAAACAAGTGGCACTTCAGCGTGCCTTTAATTGGCAATCGTACGGACTTTGTCGATCTGCTACCCAACCGCCGACTGCCACCGTCCGATCGACTTCCTGTTATCGACTTGTTTGGCCAATCCACAAGTTTATCCGTCCTCGAATTACTAGCGAGTAAATTGAAGAGGACACAGCGCAGACCCAGGATTGGCCTCACAACTTAATGACACCTCTCTTGTCAGCCACTTCCAGTTTTCCAAATAATGCAGTCAAATGCAGAGTGTTGTTAAAGTTGTAGATTGGCTAAAAATAGAATTGTGGATCGACTAAAAATAGACTGCATGTGTAAACTTGTGTGTGTTGCGCAAATAAAAGGAGTAGAGGGTGGTGTGAGAAGGGTGTACTGTATACGTTGGGTGGAAATGAGGAAAGAGTGGGTGGGGAGGCAGCAAGAGTGAGACCTCAGCTCAAAAGCAGGGGAGGGAACAAAGGCAGAGAATGGACAAGTTAAGGAGGTTGAGGTGGGTAGAGATGCAGGGAGAGAGGGAGGGGGAGAGGGAGGGGGAGAGGGAGAGAGGGAGGGGGAGAGGGAGAGAGACACCTTGCGGAAGGACAGAAGCAAAGGCAAAGGAGAATGTTTTGCAGAATACAGAGGAGACACATAGGCAGGAGAGAAGGGAACAGCAAAGAATAAAGAGAGAGGGGCAAGGTGGAGGAGGAAAGGTGGGCACAAACAGAGAGAGGGAGACAGGAGGGAGAGGACGTGAAGGTTACAAAACAGGTGGAGAGGGAGGTGGATATGCAGCGGGGGAGAGGGAGAGAGAGAGAGAGAGAGAGAGAGAGAGAGAGAGAGAGAGAGAGAGAGAGAGAGAGAGAGAGAGAGAGAGAGAGAGGGAGGGAGGGAGGGAGATGTCTTGTGGTAGACAGATGAAAGACACAGCCAGGAGAGAAGGGGGTGGAAAGGGAGTCACAGACAGAGAGAGGGACGGGACAAAACCTGGAAGTGCAAAAGGAGGAGGAAGGAAATATAAATCATAATATGCTTTCAGGGAGGACGGAGGAAGGAGGGAGAAGAGAGAGGAGAGAATGGGAAGGTAGCCGGAGAGAGATGACCAGTTAGTGGCAACGGTGTTGATTGCGGGTTTCTGTGGCTGCCCGGTTATGCACTGTTTAACCACCAGCCAGTGCTTTTCTCTTCTTTTCCTTTTTCTTAAGGGGACTTGAGTCCCAATAAGATCGAATTAGATCTGTGGGCTCATGACGAAGCTGCGGCGTTGCTTTTTTTTTTTCCCCTTTTTGGCTGGTGCTGCCAGCCATTTTAGTCCGGTGGCACTGTTTATCCGATAACTTTTCGGAATGACCCGTTTTCGATTCGAACGTTTGCCGCGGGGGTGCACTTGCGCACTTGCGGCTTAAGTCCCAATGAGATCGAATTAGATCATGGGCCCATGTCGATGCTGGTCCGCCGAACCGTTGGCCTATGCCCATGAGAAGTTTGTGTGGCAAGCGACACGGTGGCTATGGAGGACAGGTGGGGGACCACTGGCGCCATGCAATGTGTGCTCACGTTCGCCCGAGCCGCGGCGGCGACTTCACCGCGAACGCCACCCACCATTTACGGTCAACTCCGTAGCGGCAACTTTGCCCGGAGCTATTGCCGGGAGTAACTGCGTGAAGCTCTGTCTTGCTGAAGTGACATGTCGATGCCCGCCTAACCTGCAACAAGGTGTTCACACGGAACTACATACAGATTCAGATGTTTTGGACTAAAGGCAACCAATCGTCAGGCAGCCAAGACGACACTAACCCCAACCCCGCGTGCGGCGTGCGCGGGGACGCATGGATGAGCGCATACCGTGCTTGCAACCGCACGAGCCGCACGCTCGTGCAGCGCACTGAACCTGCCCGTGCACTGCACCAGCAACAATATCTGTGTGTGTGTGTGTGTGTGTGTGTGTGTGTGTGTGTGTGTGTGTGTGTGTGTGTGTGTGTGTGTGTGTGTTTGTTGCTGTTTCATAGATGCAGAAGAGTGTAGTACCTAAGGAAGAGATCCTGTTCCGAGTACAGCAGTGCAAATTTTTCTTTTTCGGCCCATTGAGACATCAGTATTGCCAATTAGGTGGTGACATTACGCTCCCAGCTTCTTTTTTTTTTTTTTTTTTTTTTTTTTTTTTTTTTTTTTTTTTTTTTTTTTTTTTTTTTTGCTACGACAACTTTTCAAAGGGCCTGCACGTGACCACTGATCCAGGCCTGCGACCCCTTTTTTTTTTCTGCGCCACACTGCGATCAGTATTGCCGTAGGGATTCTGTGCGCTTGTTCGCCGTACTTGAGGAATTGCCCGCACGGCGTGCGCTTTGCATGTGTGGCGCATACATAAATCAAATCAGCTGTCTGTTTGGGTGTGGCGGCTGCATTGACTCTTTTGGGCGAGTTGCATTCTTAGCTCAGCTGAATAACAGAATAACAGCTTTGTATAAGCTGAAGGTTACAGGTTCATATCCTGTAGCACGCTGAATTCTTCGGGAGAGTGGCCAAGTGGTTAAAAGCAACAGACTGTAGAACGCAGCAAGTGCGTCGCACATGCGGATTGCAAATCGATTGATAACACTGTTTCGTAGCACTTGAAAGGTGAAAGAAAACCAAAGAAAAAAACAGAAAACAGAAGGTTGGAAAGAAGAGTCTGCATTTTATCAGCCCACAGGACCTCCTCTCTACACGCACAGATTCAAACCGCTGCTCTCAGTCGCAAGAACGGAGTCTCTTAACCATTACGGCCATGGCATGGTGTACAAAAGGAGATCCATGCCAGCAATGTATCTTGGTCTTTCTTTCTTTCTGTCTCATTAATGATCCACCCCACCCCTGCATAGCTGTAGGGTCCTTCAACTCACGCACACACATACACACAACAGCACACAAGGCATCCGCCACACAAATGGTTAGCCGGTACCCCCACTTTTCAGCCCCAGGTTGACCCCCCCAACCCTGAAAAGTGCCGCAGTAGTCACACACTCCGCTCTCATCCAGCACAACTGCTTATCCGATGGTTTTGTCTGTGGGCCACCACATCCAAGTATAATTTCCGGGCTGGTTACCCGGTTGAAGTACAGTTTGCACTTCATCGGCCACAGGACGGGCAAACGGGATAACTTGCATGGTGGTGGAACCACCGCTGAGACTACGGCGAGTGGTACGCCTTCTTTGTTCTTCTCCGCAGCAAGTTGGCGAGCCCCTGGAGTACTGACTTCAGCAGTTTGGATGCTGGAAGGGAAGGAAATGGCCTTCGTCTGTGCGTGAGGGACATGGGAGCTCTGAATTCCAAGTATGTGCTAGAGTTCGTTGTCGATCGATTGTCGTTGTGGTCAGACACTTCCCTTGTTGATCGATCATCCTCGTGTTCAGACACCGTGTACACAAGTATTCGAGCGAACCAACGGTTTCTTCGACGATGTGTGGTCAGGTTTCAAATTTGGCCTTTTTTATAGGCTTTTGCAAGGCATAAGGTCCCCAGCCTGGTTGAATTGGGGCTGCGCCCACTGGACGGGATTCGTGCCCGTTTGTGACTGTCTGCACCAGGCCTAAGTGAAGGCGGGCCCTGGAAATTGGACTAGGCCTGAGGAGAAGGCCAATGTGGGCAAGCAGGGCCTCGTGGGTTGGTTGTTGAACACAGAATGCTGGGCCCAGTTGAGCCCCAGGCACGTTGTAGAAGGGCCCTCGGCCTAGCTACTGGGACAGGGGCCGAGCAGTCGAGAAGCTGCCTCGCTCAGCCAGCATCTGCAAAAAAGGAAGTGCAGCCAGACACTTCCTCGTTCATTCTCCTGACTGGTCGGCGGCAGCGCTGCCGGAGCGCAGGCTCACATGCACGCACACTGGTTGAAGGTTGGGGAGAGAGAGGAAAGCACCGGCGGGGCGTGCAACATAGCTGCTAGCCGCAGCGCCGGCCATATAGCTGGGCCGCTGCCTGTCGGTGCCAGAAGGGGGATGAGTGGTGATCCTTGGGCAAGGGCGCTGCGGTGTAGGAGATGACGAGAGGTACGAGTGAAGGGAGAAAGCACCCACCAGGTGATGATGAGCAGCAGGTAGGTCCAGCCGATGTCTTCATTCGTCACCTGACAGCTGTACTCCTTGAAAACCTGTTGACGTCATCTAGGTGCTGTCTGACCGTGGTCTGGGCGCCGGGCGCTGTATAGGAGAGTGACATTTTCGAGACATCGATGATGGAGGCGAGATGGGGGCTTACATTGTCAGTTGAGTTCATTGGTTTGCTCTTATTTGGTGTATTATCTCGGTGCATTCTGCTTTCTGTTTCGAGCACGCATGACTTTCTGGCTTTCAATGGATGATGCAATTTGGCTTCTCTATCTCGCATTGCTCATTTTCCTCGCACTTTCAGTTTTGATTTTTGTTTTCCCCCTTTTAAGTTATTGAATTATATGTACTTAAGTATTGGAGCGAACCAATGGTTCCTTAGATGACGTGTGGTTGAATTTGAATTTAGTGTTTTTCTATGGTTTCTTTATTTTTATTATCGACTGACATAAGATAGGGTTTGCTTTTGATCCAGGTGTTGCCTTCGTCTACTCAGTTTTTTGGGTTAGATCAGCTTAATCAAGTTAATGATCAGATGCAGATTGCTTAGATTAGTTGTGTGTGTGTGTGTGTGTGTGTGTGTGTGTGTGTGTGTGTGTGTGTGNGAGGTAGAAGAAAAGGAAACAAGTGTTCTGTACTCGTTCGTGGATGAAAACGGACAAGGGAGGACTCAAGTTTGGGGTTTTCGGGGCTTGCGAACCCGATCGTACAGTTAGTTCGGTTGAAGAGTTAGTAGATAGAAAGTTATTGAGAGAAGTAGCTGCACAGGGAGTTGATGGGGATAGCGGTGTGGGACGTGTATTTGCCCGGACGCTCGGGGGAGATTCAGGGATGTACCTACCCGCCTTTCAGCAGAAGATTCATTCGATTTTGCGCACCTTATTCTTGGCAGCAGGGTGAGGCTGGCTGCGCCACGCACAGAGAGAGAGAGAGAGAGAGAGAGAGAGAGAGAGAGAGAGAGAGAGAGAGAGAGAGAGAGAGAGAGAGAGAGAGAGCACGTGTATGATCGTGGGCTGATGGCATAATACTGCAGTATTCTGTTTGAAGAAAAAGAGGAGAAATAATTTGGAAAGGGGCGAAAAGAGGTAGGTGAGGGAGTGGGTTAGACTAGACTAGCGAAAGGTTAGAGGGGTGAGGAAGGAGGGGAAGATCTTTATTGATGGCGAGCTGTCGTCCACGGATGGGGAGTGAACTGACTTCATCGATGCACGATGAAGGAACCGG